CAAAACATGCATAGGAATAGGAAGAGTAAGTGTCACAACGAAGCATAAGAACTGGATTTAGTACACAGTTTATGTTACTACTCTGATAGGACTAGTATACTAACATGGTTTATTTTATCAATAATCTTATAGCATTAGGTGGTTTTTATTCAAATCTCAATCATGAATCAACTAATTCTGTGGGAATCTCCATTTTCAGTTTAAAAGAAAAAAAAAAGCTACAGCATCTACTCTTTTTTAAGTAGCAGAGAACCCTGAGCAAAGTTGTCTGACAATAATCTGAAATCTCAAAGTTCATAGGAGAAATTAAGAGAATCTCAAATACATTACTATGCAAAAGTTGATGGCAAAATGTAAAGTATTTTAGAACAGGACTGACATTCTTTGTGAAAGGACTTTTGTATTTCCCAGTGGAAGAAGCAAACAGTTGAAATGTTCTGGGCAAGAGATTTTCTTTAGAACATATTCAATCACATTAGAGGATAATTGCTGCCTCTTACTAATAACCATGAAGCACTTGGAGGAGCATCACTGCCTCTGGAATACACAAGCAGTTCTGAAAACACTCGAACTCCAACACAGGGAGTACTTGTACCTGTGGGCACAGAGTTTTGCTCTTGCCATTAAACACGAGTCCTGCTTCTTCTTTTAGAGTCCATGGAATACTACTGCATTTTGTACAGTAGAGTTCTCCAAAGCATATGAAGTACCTTTCAGACAAAAGAATGATTTTTCCCGAGTGAAGTTCAGGTGCTGTAAAGCATGCATTAGAATTCTGCTGTGTGGCTTCACACTTGGCTGAATGCTATGACACAGTTACATGAGGTATTCTCAGTCATACCTTTAACAATTTTATTTTCAGGGATTGAATACATAGGTAGAGGCCATCAGAAGTTTATGTTAGCCTTAAGTTATTGATAGTGTCAGAGCATTTTTACTGCTGCCAAAAGAAACTTGGGCTTCACTCTGCCCTAATACCCCCGTTTCCCTTACAGTGACCGAAACAAGTCATAGACCAAATTACCATGCTGGAGAGGTACCTTCCACAGTACAGTGCCACCTCACACTGCTCTCTCTGAGGCATGTAAATCCTAATAATATTTTGTTTTCATCTATTCTACAGCAAAACCGCTCTTGATCACTACTGAATAATATAAATGGATGACATGAGAATATTTTTCTGTACATAGATTGATTTAATACAGCCATTAAAACTGCTTGGATTTGACAGCATAAAATAGTTGTTAAAGTGAATCAATGAAATCTTCCTTTACCAGTCAGGTAAATTAAACAAGAGAATTTTGCTGTTCCTAATGGTCTAATCTTTTTAATGAACAGGTTTCTGTTTCAGACATCACTCTGGTATAAATGCACCCTAATAGCATATTCTAGACTCTGAAGAGTCCCTTTTTTTTCATTTTTTTTTATTTTATTTTTCTCCTCTGTCTGCTTTCATAAAAGAGAAAACTTACTGTATTTGTTTTTATATTGTATTTATATGAAATAGTTCACAGATTTAT